CCTCCGTTTGCACGTAGTGCTGGGGGCCGCCGCTCCCCCCCCGACCCCCCCCAGGACCCTTCCTCGACGCCCCTCCCCCCTACAGAACTCGGGGGGCTGCGGGGCGGCCCTAAAGCGTGTGGAGGTGGTCGCCGACCCCCCCAGTTACGTTTTGGGGGTGCCGTACCCAGGGAACCTATTGAGGAACGTGGCGTGGGGGGGGGCGGCGGGAGGGGACCCCCTTCGTGGGGGGGTCGGACCCCAGAATAAGGGGGGGGGACCCCAAACGTTTGTGCTGTTGGTGGATGCCGACGTGGTGCCGAGTGGGGGGCTGAGGGAGGGGTTCCTAAAGATGGTGGCTGAGGGGGGGGAACGGTGGGGACCCCCATTTATGGGGCGTCCCAGTGATTGGGTTGGGGGGGGGGTTGGGGGGGAACGGCGTGTCCTGGGGGTCCGCAACCCCATAGAGGACCCCAAGAGGGTCAGTGACCCCAACCCCATAGGGAACCCCAACCCCATAGAGGACCCCAAGAGCTTCGGTGACCCCAACCCTATAGGGGACCCCAACCTCATAGGGAGCCCTAAGAGATTCAGTGATCTCAACCCCATAAGGGTCCCCAAAAGGTTTGGTGACCCCAGCCCTATAGATGACCCCAAAAGCACAAAGGTTCTTGAGAGCCTCCATGATCCCCACAACCTCGGCGTTCTGAAGGACCCCAATGTCATCGAGGACCCCAACCCCGTGATCCCAAAGAGATTTGGTGTCCCCAGTGCCAGCACTCTGAAGGACCCCATTGCCATCAAAAACCCCAATGCTATGGAAGACCCCAACCCCAATTTGGAGGTCCCCAATGCCGCGGGGGTCACTGGAAATTTCAGTGACCCCAAAGACAACGCTCTGAAGGACCCCAAAGCCCTGGAAGACCCCAAAACCCTGGAAGATCCCCACACCATCAAAGACCCCAGTGTCATGGAAGACCCCAATGCCATCGAAGACCCCAATGCCATGGAAGATCCCAAAGCCCTGGAAGACCCCAAAGCCCTGGAAGACCCCCACACCATCGAAGACCCCAATGCCATGGAAGATCCCAAAGCCCTGAAAGACCCCAAAGCCCTGAAAGACCCCCACACCTTCAAGGACCCCAGTGCCATGGAAGATCCCAACGCCATGGAAGATCCCAACGCCATGAAGGACCCCAACGCCATGACGGACCCCAAGACTTTGGACGACCCCGGTATTCCCAACGCCATAGAGATCCCCAACCCCATGGACGACCCCCACCCCCCAGGTGCCCCCATTGCCCCATGGGACCGGGTGGTCTTCGTGCTGCCAGCCTTCGAGGTGCACTCGGGGACGCCGATCCCAGCCACAAAAGCGGAGCTGCTGCACTTATGGGGTTTGGGGGCAGCTCGACCTTTCTATGGGGCTCTGTGCCCACGGTGCCAGGCACCCACCGACTATGGGAGGTGGTGGGAGCTGCCCCCGGGCCCCCAGCTGAGGGTGGCCTACGAGGCCCCATGGAGGGACCCTTGGGAGCCCTTCTATGTGGGGCCGGCCCAAGGCGTGCCCCCCTTCGACGAGCGCTTTGTGCAGTACGGCTTCAACCGCATCAGTCAGGTGAGGAGGGGGCTGTGGGGTGGCTGTAGGGGCTGTGGGTGCTGTGGGGTGGACGTTGTGGCTGCAGGGTGGATGTTGGGGCTATGGGGTGGCTATGAGGGTTATGAGTGCGGTGGGCTGGCCATTGGAGCAATGGGGTGGTTGTAGGGACTGTGGGGTGGCTGTAGGGGCTGTGGGGTGGCTATGAGGGTTGTGAGTGCAGTGGGTTGGCCATTGGAGCAATGGGGTGGTTGTAGGGACTGTGGGGTGGCTGTAGGAGCTGTGGGGTGGCTATGAGGGTTGTGAGTGCAGTGGGTTGGCCATTGGATCAATGGGGTGGTTGTAGGGGCTGTGGGGTGGACGCTGGGGCTATGGGGTGGCTGTGAGGGTTGTGAGTGCTGTGGGTTGGCCATTGGAGCAATGGGGTGGTTGTAGGGGCTGTGGGGTGGCTGTAGGGGCTGTGGGGTGGCTATGAGGGTTGTGAGTGCAGTGGGTTGAGTACAGGGGCTGTGGGTTGGCCATTGGAGCAATGGGGTGGTTGTAGGGGCTATGGGGTGGTCACTGGGGCTATGGGGTGGCTGTGAAGGCTGTGGGTTGGATATAGGGGCTGTGGGGTGGTTGTAGGGGCTATGGGGTCTCTGGTGCTATGGGATGGCCACTGGAGCTATGGGGTGGCTACGGGGTGGTGGATTGGCCACTGGGACTATGGGGTGATCACTGGGGCTATGGGATGGCTGTGGGGCGGTGGGCTGACTGCTGTGGTTATGGGATGGCTGTGGGGACTATGGATCAAACACTGGGGTTATGAGATAGCTTTAGGGTCCTGTAGATGCTATGGGGTGGCCGTGGGGGACCCATGGGTGCCATAGGGAGACCTCAGGGTGCTATAGGGTTCTGTGGGACGCAGCGGCTGCCATGGGCTGACACTTCACACCCCCCCCAGGCATGCGAGCTGCACATGGCCGGGTTCCGCTTTGCGGTGCTGGACGGCGCCTTCGTGGTCCACCGTGGCTTCAAGGAGGCAGGAGGCTTCCATGGGGCGAAGGAGGCCGAGCTGACCCACAACCGGCAGCTCTACCGCCGCTTCCGCGCCGAGCTGCGCCAGCGCTACCCCAACTCACCACGACGATGCTGACAGCGTGGGGTGCTGAGTCCTGGGGTGTGGGGTCCGTTGGCGTTGGCCTGGGTCTCATCAGTGTTGGTCCCGTTGACGTTGGTCGTGTGGGTCCCGTTGACGTTGGTCCCATTGAGTGTGGCCTACTGGGTCCCATTGACATTGGCCAAGTGGGTCCCGTTGGCGTTGGTCCCATTGGTGTTGGCCAACTGGATCCCGTTGGCACCGGTCCCATTGACTGTGGCCTACTGGGTCCCATTGTTCCTGCTCCCATCAGCATTGGCCATGTGGGTCCCATTGATGCTGGTCCCATTGAGTGTGGCCTACTGGGTCCCATAGGTGTTGGTCAGGCTGACATTGGCCAACAGGATCCCACTGGCACTGGTCCCATGCAGTGTGGCCAACTGGGTCCCATTGGTTCTGGTCCCATTCAGTGTGGCCTGCTGGCTCATATTGGTTCTGGTCCCATTCAGTGTGGCCTACTGGGTCCCATTGGTTCTGGTCCCATTGAGTGTGGCCTACTGGATCCCATTGCTCCTGGTCCCATCAGTATTGGCCATGTGGGTCCCATTGGTTCTGGTCCCATTGAGTGTGGCCTACTGGGTCCCATTGCTCCTGGTCCCATCAGTATTGGCCATGTGGGTCCCATTGGTTCTGGTGCCATTCACTGTGGCCTACTGGGTCCCATTGGTTCTGGTCTCATTGAGTGTGGCCTACTGGGTCCCATGGCTACTGGTCCCATCAACATTGGCCACGTAGGTCCCATTGGTTCTGGTGCCATTCACTGTGGCCTACTGGGTCTCATTGGTTCTGGTCCCATTGACTGTGGCCTACTGGATCCCATTGCTACTGGTCCTATCTACATTGGCTATGTGGGTCCCATTGGTTCTGGTCCCATCAGCATTGGCCATGTGGGTCCCATTGATGCTGGTCCCATTGATGTTGGCCTACTGGGTCCCATTGGTTCTGGTCCCATTCAGTGTGGCCTACTGGATCCCAATGGTGTCGGTCAGGTTGACGTTGGCCAACAGGATCCCATTGGTTCTGGTCCCATTGACTGTGGCCAACTGGGTCCCATTGGTTCTGGTCCCATTGGCTGTGGCCTACTGGATCCCATCAGCATTGGCCACGTGGGTCCCATTGACGTTGGTCCCATTGGTGTTGGCCAACTGGATCCCATCGAGGTTGGCCAGGAGGATCCTACTGCCATTGGTCCCGTTGGTGTTGGTCTCCTTGACGTTGGCCAACTGGGTTCCATTGTTGTTGCCCAAGTGGCTGCCATTAAAGTTTGTGCCATTGACATTGGCCAACTGGATCCCGTGGGGTCACACTGGATCTCCATGCATTGCACTGGGGACACTGGGGACACTGGGGACGTGGGGGCATTGGGTCGTGTTGGGTCTCCATCCATTGCACTGGGATATCAGGAACGTCAAGGGCACTGGGAACAGAGGGGACATTGGGTTTGGTTTGGTCTCCATCCATTGTTTTGGGGACATCGGGGACACTGAGGGCACTGGGGACAATGGGAACATGGGGTCACGTTGGATCTCCATCCATTGGTTTGGGGACATTGGGGACATGGGGTCACGTTGGATCTCCATCCATTGGTTTGGGGACATTGGGGACATGGGGTCAGGTTGGATCTCCATCCATTGGACTGGGGACTGGGGACATTGGGGACATGGGGTCATTTTGGGTTTCCATCCATTGGTTTGGGGACATGGGGTCACGTTGGATCTCCATCCATTGGTTTGGGGACATGGGGACACTGGGGTCACATTGGATCTCTATCCATTGGGGACACTGAGGGCACTGGGGACACTGAGGAAAATGGGGACATTGGGGACATGGGGTCATTTTGGATCTCCATCCATTGGTTTGGGGACGTTGGGGACATGGGGTCATTTTGGATCTCCATCCATTGGTTTGGGGACATTGGGGACATGGGGTCACACTGGATCTCCATCCATTGGTTTGGGGACGTTGGGGACATGGGGTCACACTGGATCTCCATCCATTGGTTTGGGGACATGGGGACACTGGGGACATGGGGTCACTTTCACAGAATCACAGAATCACAGAATCGTAGGGGTTGGAAGGGACCTCCAGAGATCATCGAGTCCAAC